TCTAATATGTTTGTGTTTTGGCAGATTGGCACTCCTTGTATATCAATTGTGGTGGAGATGACGTGAAAATAAATGGTACAACATATGTTGGAGATGGAAACTCTTATGCTGTTGCTGCATCATTATACCAAGGTCCTAATAACTGGGGATTTAGTAACACTGGAGATTTCAGGGATGACAATGATGAACAAAATGCACCAGGGCGTTTTCTTGCAAGCACGCTATCATCAGACATTCCTGAATTGTTCACTACAGCACGACTTTCTCCTCTTTCTCTTACGTATTATCAATATTGTCTCGAAAATGGGAGCTATATGGTACGTCTGCATTTTGCAGAGATTCAGTTCAAAAGTGGCGCAACGTTTGCTAGTCTTGGAAGACGAATATTTGATATATATATTCAGGTAAATGATTATAGTTGAGAATTATAGTTTCTTTTGAAAGATTTATGTTGGAGATCCTGGCATTGGAAGAATGGTGCTCTTGGAGAGGATTGTCCTTGATCTGTATTTTAATGTTGCAGGATGAACTAGTGGAGAAAGATTTCAATATAGAAGCTGAAGCTGGTGGGGTTTATACTCCATTCACAAAACAATTCAATATTAATGTAACAGATGGTAAATTAGAGATCCGATTCTGTTGGGCTGGCAAAGGAACTCAAGCAATCCCCACTCATGGAGTCCATGGTCCACTCATATCAGCCATATCTGTGGATCCCAGTATGTGATATTCTTCTTCCCCACCTAGTAGCATAAAGTATGAAATACAATGCAGCATATACATTCCTTATTTTTAGAACTTAGAAGCTACTGCAAATTCATGTTTCAATTCTTGGAAATAAGACTACAGATTGATTTTCTAATTGGATTAGTCTTGTAGGTGTAAATTTAGCAGTGTCATATGTATCTGTATTCTATCCTTGCATAGAAAGATTTTGATTCATCTTGATTGATGAATTTTTTGGGCAGATTTTAGACCTCGTTATCTAGAGAAGAAAATGAAGACTGTACCAATTGTTGTTGGTGTTGTAGGATCATGTCTTGTTTTACTAGCACTGGGTATCCTTTTGTGGAGATACTATTTCAGAGCCAAGAAAAGGAGACAAGGTTTGAAGTAATTCAGTGCAAACGTCATTTCTCTCAAAAACATCACAATAAGTAATTTATGTTAAACTATGTCATAAATTATTTCTAATGCGTTTTTGCTCTCTATTTATCCTCAGATCTTAGGAAACTAGATCTTCAAACAGGTTTGTTTACCTTAGAGCAGATTAGGGCTGCCACTGACAATTTTGATCCTGTAAACAAGCTTGGAGAAGGTGGATTTGGACCCGTTTACAAGGTATCAAGCCAACTTTCACTTTGTCATGGACCCTATTGTAATGCCTAACCTCGTCGAAGGTTCTAATCAACATATCTTTGGTCATGCTGGACTGCAGGGTGAGTTATCTGATGGTACAGTAATTGCCGTAAAGCAGCTCTCTTCAAAATCAAGTCAGGGAAATCGGGAATTCTTAAATGAGATTCGCATGATTTCATATCTGCAACATCCCAATCTTGTAAAGCTTTATGGATGCTGCATTGAAGGGGATCAACTGTTACTAGTGTACGAATACATGGAAAATAATAGCCTTTCTCAAGCTTTGTTTGGTATGTTTATTCTAGAGTAAGATGCTGGATTGATTTGTTCTTTTGGGTTGAAATATTGAAACAACCAATATAGTCAGAAAGGTTTTGTTCATGTATCTTTCCTGGAATGATTAATTGCAGGGCCACGTCATCAAATGAATCTCAACTGGCCAGCCAGGCATAGAATTTGTGTTGGGATAGCTAGAGGTTTAGCATATCTCCATGAAGAGTCTACATACAAGATTGTTCACAGGGACATCAAAGCTGCCAACATTCTTCTAGACAGAGACTTGAATCCTAAAATATGTGACTTTGGGCTAGCTAAACTATACCAGGAGGATAAAACCCATATCAGCACGCGAATTGCTGGAACAATGTAAGTTACAGTCATCTTCCATTGTTGCTCTCATTAAGGAATCCAGAACTTTAATGAATTCATATGATGAATTTAAATGCAGAGGATATATAGCTCCTGAGTATGCACTAGGGGGTTACTTGACATACAAGGCAGATGTGTACAGTTTTGGAGTTGTTGTGTTGGAAATTGTCAGCGGGAGGAACCATACGACTTATGGGCCTGAGAATAAGTATGCTTGCCTTTTGGAATGGGTAATCACTAATTTTCACCCTTTTCTCCTGGCATCTATCGTGTTTTCATACCATTCTTCCTCAATTCATGATAAGTAAGTTGAGAATCAATGCTCCTTCGGGTTTGCAGGCCTGTCAATTATTACAAAATGGAAACCTATTGGACCTGGTGGATGACGAGCTGGGATCAGAATTTAATAAGGCAGAAGCAGAGACGGTGATCAAAGTAGCCCTGTTATGCACCAATGTCTCCCCCACATTAAGACCGACAATGTCTGAAGTTGTAGGCATGCTGGAAGGAAGAAGCCCCACCCCGGATCCAGTAAATGCAAGCTCTTACAGTGATGATCTGAGGTTTAAACTGATTAGAGATCACCGAGTATCTATGTCCAGTAGACAGAGCATTGAAGGAACTCCTACACCACATTTTTCTACTTCCCAGGGATTGTTGAACCAGTCTTCCTCTGCTTCTCTCAGAACATCTCATCTTTCCTGAAGATCAGAGACGTGTGACATATTAGGAAAAATTAGTTTTTTTGTTTAAATAAATTTTTTTGTTTATAATGCAATTATTTTCTAAATATTTTTAACTAGGAGTAGGAGATAGGAGGTAGGAGATGGCAGTGAACCTTCATCTCAATCTTCCTGGTTAGTTGCTTAGTTGTCTGCAGCCTTTTGATTTGGCTCTGTGACATTATCATCAAAGTTTCAACAAATTAATTATCCTTGCTTGATAACAAGGAAAACATGTTATAGTCCATATTTCTCACCAACTCCAAACTACTTTCTCAATGTGTAGGGTTGCTTTGTTTTCAAAGTCAATTTTCACATGGTGATTATTCAACATTGATAGAAAACTTTAGTTGACTGACTGCTGGGAGAACGGCAGAATCCATCGTTCAAAGCCAACTACTTGTAACTCCAGAATGATTACAACAGAAATAGCACTCCATTGCATGAAGACTCGAGCTAGATGAAATTATGTATCACAATGTAAATGGTGTTGGAGTTATTCAAAGCTGCAAAAGTGATGAAAATGAGAATCTGAAATGAAATGGATGCGGGGAGAAGGTTGCAAATTGACATAAAAAAGTAGCTGCAATTTAACTACAGTTGTCATGAAAATGAGGCTGAAAATATACTGCAAAAAGAACAGCAAATGTTGCTGCAATATGACAGACAGATCTCATAAGCCAATTGTCAGAATTGCCTGTGGATTCTTGTATTGCATGTTGATTTATTAAGCATATTTAGGTCTTTATATTATCATTTCTAATATTTTAGTTGTTAGAATGTTCTTATTGTCGTTAATTCCTAAAAAATATTAGGTTAAATACCTTTTTTGGTCCCTCTACTATTAAAAAAAAGCTCATTTTTATCCCTATACTGAAAAAATCTCCTTTTTGATCCTTAAAGTGTAAAATCCAATCCATTTTTAGTCTCTCTGTTAAATTTTTGCTAATTTGTCATGTTAATTAACGAGAACATCTTACATGGGATATTTTGCCATTTAAAAATGCTTACATGGCTCTCCATGTTACTCTCTCAACGACAAAAAAAAAAAAAAAAAAAAAAACTCTAAATTCTCTTCTTTTTTTTTCAATTCCCTCAATAGAAATCATCTTTCTTCTTTTAAAATTCTTCGTTCATAATCAACTCTTTACACGTGAGATTGATGAAGATAGAATTGAGAATTCATAAGATTATTTTCATTGATAAAAATAAAAATTATTACTAATTAAAATTATTTATCAATACTAAACTGTAATTTCTCCTTTGCAAAATAGATCATATTTTTTATTTTTTCCTTAATTTCAAATTCTCAATCCTTTCTTCTCATTAAATCTAGGTCATTGATGAATCATGTTACGAAGTTCACATTAACATAAACACAGCAACATTAATTTGTAACCTATAGTTTCAAACCCTAACATCAAACACTATTTGGGTTTCGTAATGAACCCAAAACTTAGGTTCTTATGGAACCCAACAACACCTAGGTTCGTACAGAACCCAATTGCTAGGTTCTGCAAGAACCCATAAACTTGATTATGCAAGAACCAAAAACTAAGTTCCTCACAGAACCCAAATCTGGGAATCTGGACTGGGTTCTTCATGGAACCCAGATCGGTTCTTCGCGAAACCCAGTTGCTAGGTTCTATGAAGAACCCTGTTCCGAGTTTCTTCCAGAACCCAAAACCTAGGTTCCTCACGGAATCCAAATCTGGGTTCCATGAGGAACCAAGATGATGAAAAGTAAGATGACGAAGAGGATGGTGGAGCTAAATGGTGAGATGATGATGCCGAGGATGAGGGTGAGGATGAGGAGAAAGAAGAAGATGAAGAAATTAAAATTAATTATGTTTAAATTTATTTAATCCATAAATTAAGAAGTAAAATTTTTAATATGTACATGTGGCTCAAAATATTTAAGTGACTTGCTTACATGGATTTATAATTTTATCCACGTAATTTCCATGTCAGATGTTCCTATTAATTAACATGATAAGTTAGTAAAAATTTAACAAAGAAACCAAAAAGAGATAAGATTTTAAACTTTAAGGATTAAAAAAGAGATTTTTTCAATATAAGGATCAAAAAGTGACTTTTTTCAATAGTAGAGGAACTAAAAAAGGTATTTAACCAAAATATTAATATATAAATTTAAAACCTAAACATGAATGCTCATATTCTTAACTACTGTGACATCTATAATTAACTACTCTATGTGCCCAACTGCCTATGGTTGCATCCCCTATAAACACGTACCACCCATGTGAAAGTTCACAGAGAAATATTAGATACAGTGTAGGATCAATGGAGACTGATGAAACCAGCATTCGGAGTGCAGAACTTGATGAGGTCCATGAACCCATGTTGCCAGAACACTCCTCTTCGGAGGTAGTTGGCTCCGAACTAGAGGACATACTGTCTGACCCAGGTTTGTCCCACTTCCAGCGGCTCCGGTCAGCCACCTTGCTCGAACTCAACATCCTCTTCCGACTAGCAGGTCCAGCCGTTGTCGTTTACTTGCTGAACAATCTACTTTCTATGTCCACCCAGATCTTCTGCGGTCATCTTGGGAATCTTGAACTTGCTGCCGCCTCTCTCGGCAACACTGGCATTCAAGTTTTTGCCTTCGGCCTCATGGTATGCATTTTTCTCCCTCTGACGCTTTTACAAACATGATACCAACATGCTAATATGTTGTGTTATGTGCAGTTGGGAATGGGGAGTGCAGTGGAGACCCTATGCGGGCAAGCTTATGGGGCACACAGATACGAAATGCTGGGGATATACATGCAAAGGTCGACAATTCTCCTCACTGCAACTGGGGTTCCACTTATGCTGATATATATCTTCTGCAAACCCATCTTGATTTTACTCGGTGAATCAAGCGCCATTGCCTCTGCTGCTGCAATTTTCGTCTACGGTCTCATTCCTCAAATTTTCGCCTACGCAGCCAATTTTCCAATACAGAAGTTCCTCCAGGCACAAAGAATAATAGTCCCAAGTGCATACATATCGGCAGCTGTTCTTGTGGTTCATCTCTTACTCAGCTGGCTTGCAATTTACGAACTGGGTTGGGGGCTGTTGGGTGCATCACTGGTCTTGAGTCTTTCTTGGTGGCTCATTGTGGTGGCACAATTTGTGTACATTTTGATGAGTGAAAAGTGCAAGGAAACATGGACGGGGTTCAGTTTACAGGCATTTTCAGGGCTCTGGGCCTTTCTGAAATTGTCCGTTGCATCAGCTGTTATGCTCTGCCTGGAAACTTGGTACTATCAGATAATAGTCCTGATTGCTGGATTACTCAAAAATGCCGAGATTGCGTTGGACTCTCTGTCCATCTGGTAAGGAAAAAACCCTAATTTCAACTTCCCCTTTTGACCAAATGTATACTTTGAATATGATTGAATTTAGGCTTCAATGGAACTAGGATTTCTACTGTTTTGAGGCCGGCCTAGTGGTCCCTTAAGGACAAACAGTCAATTATTTCTTTTGTCACCATTCAGTTTTAGGGTGAGGACTTAGAATTGTTCTCATAACTGGTTTCCTTTTACCTCGTAGGGAGACAGGCTAATGAGACTGTGAGAAAATGAAATCCTGGTACCCTTTTGGAATTTTGACTCTTGGAACGTTTGCAAAGAGCACGCGTACTCTTGAGAGCTGTTAGAACTACGTCCGTATTGCTTTCATATTGCATTGATGACATGAAAACTTTTAAAACCTTTGAGAAAACAAAAGAATTGCCAAGTATGTATTCAAGGATTAATACTTTCACCCTGATTTTCACTGTAGAAGATGTCTGAATATGTCCCCGGATCCAATTTTTCCCTATGGCCGGAAGCTTTGGCATGACTTATTGACATTAATTCTACTCCTTAATCCAGATTAAAGTTAACATGTATAAAATCACTTACAATTTCTAAACAAGAGACATAAGCGTAGGTACGGATTACTGTGGAACTTTACCTTTCTTAAGTAGACATAATATTAAATCAGTCTTCTTTTAATGATTCAATATTTTTCTAATATTATGGTAAACTAAATTTTAGCTTACTGAATGCAGCATGACAGTAGTTGCCTGGTTCTTCATGGTGGCATTTGGTTTCAATGCAGCTGCAAGGTCAGTTTTCCTCCAAACATCTCTATTATAAGGATGATGCAATTAAGCCTCCACCAAGTTAGTAATATTGGTTAAATGAATATCATAATGTTGATAAGCAGTTTTTTAACCCATTTAGCCAGACCACATCTTTTTTTTGGTTTGCAATGTCATATCATAGCTGCTATATGTTGACAAATGACAATGGCCTGTTTACATTTTCCTATCATCCACAAGGATTGATGAGATTATTGTTCATTTTCATGTGGCATCATATAGTGTGAGAGTGAGCAATGAGCTAGGAGCTGGACATCCCAAATCAGCTGCATTCTCTTCTCTGATAGCAACTTCAAGCTGTTTCATCATCTCTGTGATCTGTGCCATTGTTGTGTATATGTTGCGCAATGTGATCAGCTATGCATTCACCAGTGGCACCACAGTTGCTGAGGCAGTGGCAGAACTATCTCCCTTCCTCGCACTCTCAATCATTCTCTGTGGCATTCAGCCTGTTTTATCTGGTAACCAAGGATTTCAACATTCTTTTTCCTTATTTCTATCTAATCTTCTCCAGAGTCCAACTCACCGGTAAAATTTTCATTCTTGGAAGGGGTGGCTGTTGGCTGTGGATGGCAAGCATTTGTTGCATACGTCAACGTGGGATGTTACTACATAATTGGTATCCCATTGGGTTGCCTTCTTGGTTTCAAGTTTGGTCTGGGGACAAAGGTAAAGAAGATAGCCCTCTGAGTCCTTTTTCACAATAACTTGTTATTTCTGCAAATTAATAATTTTTTAGCACCTCTAATAATGAATTATTAAATAGAGATATTCCTCCCACTAATCTAAATCTCTCATTTCTTTAATTATAATTCGAATATGAGATATTTTTAATTTAAAGTCTCAAATTCTTATTAGTCAAGACATTATTTCTCATGATTTAGATCATGTTCTTGATGGCTCCAGGGTCTATGGAGCGGGCTGATAGGAGGGACTATTGTGCAAACTATTATCTTATTATGGATCACAATTAGGGCAGATTGGCAGAAAGAGGTAAATTTCCCAACATATTTTAGAAGTTATTCTTTCTTCAACAATCTTCACGCGGATTGATATTCACCATTCAGTAATGCATTAAATCTAAGAACTCAAAAAAAAAAAAAAAATTTCTTCTCTCTCTTTTTTTTTTTTTTTTTTTTGTTGATTATTGCTAAATATTTCAGGTTGAGAAAGCAAGGAGTAGGATGGATAAGTGGGAAGATACCATCAAGCAGCCTCTTTTGGAAGAATAAAGAACAATAATTAAAATCCAAAGTAGCTTTTGCACATCCACCTAAATACACCTCCATTATCAAATTCAACCCCTAGCTGTGTAGGATCTAGAAAAAATGTGAAAGATAACAAATATTATCAACATCACCTTGTTTCCACCTAGTTTATATCTAAGATATATAGACTATAGAGCGCTAAATTGTCATTTGATTGATCCTATACTTCTAATTAATATGAAAAATTTTCATTTTTAGCTTTATATTTTATATTTTATTGGTTTTTCACATGTTAAAAGTGTATTTATTATGTTTTTTATTAATAAATATTAAAAAAATAAAAATTAACTTTTACTTAAATAACTATTCAATTAAAATAATTTACATGACACTAATACTAAAATTAATAATAAATTAATATTTTTTTAATATTAATTAATCTGAAAATAATGCAATAATTATACTCAAATACAAATTAAAAAAAAACTCATTTTTTAAATACATAAATAATAATATAAGATAATCTATTTCTATAAATTTTATTTATAATTTATATATATTATTAAATTAATAAATATGTATAATATTATAAATCTTGATAAAATAAAAATTAAAAATAGTTAATGATTAAAGGAGACATAAAATTATATTAAAAAAAATTACCCCTTTAAATACATATGGGCGTGTGCCACGTGTACTGCAGCTTCTGCATTGCCCAACCACGCCTTTGGGCTTTATTAAAAAAGACCCAAGCTCTTAGGCTTCGGTCCAGCGATTTTACCATTCGGCTGGCCCAAACAGTAATTGGTAAATATTACTTGGGCGGGCCTTCGGTCCCTAATGGCAACAGACCTATCGGCTTTCCCTAATGTCTTTCCATTTAGTATTTAAATAATAAAGTTATAAAGTTAATCTAAATACCGCTTAGATAAAGAAGGTTTTTTACTTTCTTTCTTTTAATGGTATCGAGAGTTTATATATTCAAAATAGAATAATGATAAATAAAGTTAAAATTTGAAATTAAAATATAAATTAATGATGTGATTTATGTCAAGTTATTTAAAATATTAAAAAATAAATTTTATATTATTTAATAATTAATTTTTTTATTTGTTAAAATACATAATATTATATATATCAATTAATTTAATAACATAATATAAATTATATCATTAATCTAAAATTTTCCATTCAATTCTTGTTCTTCCACTCGTTACTCATTCAAAATAATGCGTTTGGATTATAGAAATTCTAAAATTTTACTGCAAAGAGTTGGAAAATAAAAATATTAAATTTTTTTGGCAGAAAACAATAAATATTAAAATTGAAAAAAGTCAAAAAAGAATTATTGTAACTAGAACCGTAACAAATTCGTTGGTTCCTTCCTTTTTCTTTGATTGATGTAGTTTACTATAGTTTATCATTCAACCAAACCACTTGATTTGTTGCAAGGAAATCGTCACGTGATAAGGCCACGTGGTTATATAGCCACACGTAAAATATATATATATTTTTATAAATAGTTAATTATGATCATTTTAAAATATTAATTTATAAATTAATTTTAATTTATTAAATAATAAATATCAATAATTTTATTATTTATCAACTACTCTTTATTTTATAATAATGGTTGGTTTTTTAACTTATTTTTTAAAA